GGGGGGGATCGCTCCTGGGGGACCCTCGCTCCTGGGGAAACCCTCGCTCCTGGGGAAACCCTCGCTCCTGGGAGGCCTCGCTCCTGGGGGGCCCTGGCTCCTGGGGGACCCTAGCTCCTGGGGGGCCCTCGCTCCTGGGGGGCCCTCGCTCCTGGGGACGACCTTCCTCCTGGGGGCGCCCTTGCTCCTGGGGGGCCCTCGCTCCTGGGGGACCCTCGCTCCTGGACGCCCTCGCTCCTGGGGGACCCTCGCTCCTGGGGGACCCTCGCTCCTGGGGGCCCTGGCTCCTGGGGGGCCCTGGCTCCTGGGGGGCCTCGCTCCTGGGGGGCCTCGCTCCTGGGGACGCCCTCGCTCCTGGGGGGGATCGCTCCTGGGGGACCCTAGCTCCTGGGGGGCCCTCGCTCCTGGGGACGACCTTCCTCCTGGACGCCCTCGCTCCTGGGGGGCCCTCGCTCCTGGGGGACCCTCCCTCCTGGACGCCCTCGCTCCTGGGGGGCCCTCGCTCCTGGGGACGCCCTTTCTCCTGGGGACGCCTGCAGGCTGCTGGGGGGGCCCTCGCTGCTGGGGGCGCCTGCAGGCTGCTGGGGCCCCCTCGGCCTCCCGGGCACTGCCCACCCAGGTCCCGTCTCTGGAGCGACCTCCAGGGGCCGCGCCCTGCAGTGTCTGCCCGGGCCGCGTCCTCCTCCCTCCTCCCTGCACCTCCCTGCACCTGGCATGCGGCTGGCACCTTGCAGAGCCAGCAGCAGTGCCAGGCCCTGACAAATGGCTGCACCCCGGGGACCCCGGACGGTCCCCAGCACAGCCTGCGTGCGCGCCCAGGAGCGCACCGCCACCCGCCTGCAGACGGGGACGCTGCGCCCCAGCCCCGCCGTCCCCTGCTCACCACGTGCTTGAGCTTGGGCAGCCGGCGCTGCCAGCAGTTGTAGAGCAGGCCAAGCGCGATGATGATGATGCAGATGGCGCCGATGACCACCAGCACCACGAAGAGCGTCCCGTAGTCGCTGCGCACCTGGGTGGCGCGCGCCTGGCAGCTGCTGGTCATGGAGTAGTTCTGGATGCCAATCTGGGGGTGGGGGGCAGGGCAGCTTCCTCAGGCGAGGTCCTGGGGTACCTGGTGCCTCGGCCTCCTGAGTAGCTGGGACTACAGGCACATGCCAGCACATCCAGCTAATTTTTTTTTTATTTGTTATAGATACGAGGTCTTGCTACGTTGCCCAGGCTGGCCTCGAACTCCTGGCCTCAAGCGATCCTCCTGCCTGGGCCTCCGGAGGAGCTGGGACTACTGGCATGCGCCACCATGCCCGGCTGATTTTTTTTTTTTATTTGTTGTAGATACGAGGTCTTGCTACGTTGCCCAGGCTGGCCTCGAACTCCTGGCCTCAAGCGATCCTCCTGCCTGGGCCTCCTGAGTAGCTGGGACTACAGGCATGCGCCACCATGCCCGGCTGATTTTTTTTTTTTATTTGTTGTAGATACAAGGTCTCGCTACGTTGCCCAGGCTGGCCTCGAACTCCTGGCCTCAACCGATCCTCCTGCCTCGGCCTCCCGAAAGAGCTCCCCTTTTTGAGGCTGGGTCTTCGGCTCTCCTGTGGTTTCTACAAACTCCCTATCTATTTCTAGTACTTTCCTCTCGGTTATTTAACTCAAGGGTCATTTTTGCTTGCTCGATTCACCCACTTCCAAAGACCCGGCGTGGCTTTTAGCCAAGTCACCGTGACGTAAGTGCCCAATGAGGCCACGATGCCCGGGGGCAGGAAGAGGAGGCAGGGAGGTCTGTATGAAACGGTCAAGGCTAACCCGTCACGTTCCCCTCCCACCAGGCGTGTCCCATGGTGTCCACCAGAAAACTGCCATCCCCGCCTGAGACCCTCCTCCTCCCTGATCCCTCCTGACTGCCACCCCCTCGCCACGGCCCCCACACCCGCTCCTGCCCCTGACCAGTGACACGCACCGCACGGCTGGTAGTGGCCACGACGTGCTCTGCCTGTCCCATGGAACCACGTCTTACGAAGGCCCGAAACCAGCAGCCCGTGGCCCAGAGCACGACTCTGCCTTCTGCCCCTTTGACCCGGCGCACGTGGGCAGCGCCCCGCGACCGGGGCTTTGAGGAGCAGGGTCTCGGCAGGGAGCGCGAAAGCAGCTCACGGGTCCAGGCCCCCCCCCGCGTGCTCACCTCTGCCAGGCTCCTGCGGATGTCACCCAGCACGGACAGGACGTCTTGCGTGGGCACCACCCCTGAGGGGGACAAACGACGTGATGGGGCAACAGCGGTGGCCCCCGAAACCCTGGTCACCCCCCTTCCCCGGCTGTCACTGCCCGGGGGGATCTCGAGGCCCACGTCCCACCACTGCATCGATTGCCGAGAACACCGTGTGGCGGGCGTCACGCTAGACGGGCACCTGCGTGCGCAGCCCCAGGCGCTGCGTGTCCCGTCCTCAGCGCCACGCTGTGGGCGGGGCCCACTCCTGGGTGTCCCGCCGGAGCAGGAACACAGCTGTCCCCTGGCCTCCGGGTCTTGCTCTTCACGCCCTGCTCCCCTTCCCCGGGGCCCAAGCTGGCTGCTAGCCAGGCCTTGAACCCTGAGCTGCAGGGTGGAAGCTGCCACCCTGCTGTCCCCTCGGCCCTCAGGGACCGCCTGCCCGCCTCACTCACCCTGTTTGCCCACCAGCGTCATGAGAAGGTGCTGCTCCTTGTCGCTGGGCTTGCTCAGGGAGATGTGCCAGGCGCCGTGGGGGCCGCTGCCGTGGCGGGGCAGGACCTCCTCGACCAGGGCCAGGAGCTGCGGGCCCCGGTGCCGCCGGAACTCCTCCTGCAACGGCAGACAGGGCCCCCGACGGTCCCTCACCGTCCCGGCCAAAGCCCTCCTCCGGCCGTGGCCAGAGACGCGGCTCTGGGGACCCCGTGTGAGCGGCGCGCGCGGGGCCTGGGGGGGGGCGTGTGGCCGCGCCAGGGCACCCCCCCGTGTGTCCATGTCCCGTGTGGGGCTCTCTCTTGTGCCGTGCCCCCCTGCGCTGTGTTTTAGAGACCCCCGGGGGAGCTGTGGGGGGACTATGGGCCCGCGGGGTGTGACGCGCCGGGGCTGTGTGTATATCTCTCTGTTGTGTCCGTGTGTGTTGTGTGGGTGTGGGCGCGGGGCCGGGGGCCGAGATGTGGCGTGTCTGTGTTGTCCCCCGCTTTTGGGGGGAGGGGGGGGTGTGGTGTCGCGAGTCTTCTCTCGCGTGTCTGTGCGGGTGTGGGGTGTGGAGAGCGGTGTGCGTGTGCCCTCTGTGTGGGGGGGGCGAGGAGTTTTCACAGAGATGGCGCCGGCACCCCGGGAGCTGGGGCAGGAGGAGGGGTGTGAGGACAATTCTTTATCCTCAGTTTCTTGTACCGTTTAGGCTTCCCTGACCA